ACACACACACACACACACACACACACACACACACACACAGAGAGAGAGAGAGAGAGAGAGAGAGAGAGAGAGAGAGAGAGAGAGAGAGAGGCACAAACATAAATAAATCATGCTGAGTCTTTTTTTTTTTGTGTGTATATGATCTCAGGTCTTGACCATTTCGTATTAGATGAAAAACTCAGGGACTCATGCCTGCAAGAGGCTAATTTTTCTTCTCTCAACAGTCATTAGTTGCCTGTAGTCTTCATCTAGGTGTGGGAATCTGAGAGTATTCAGGTTGGGTGTTAGCATGTCTGCTGATGTTGTCGTTGCTTGGGTCCCTCCTAGAAGTGTCTGCTGAAGCAAGCAGAACGTGCACAGTGGCGATGTTACTGAATTACTTCTTAGCACTGAGATACTCTAGTCTGCAGAGAACAGAATGAGAACATGAACAAATGATACTTCAGATTATTTTGTTAATGTTTCATAATTTTCATGGTAGAGATATCTCTTCTCTTTGGCTAAAACTTTCTGTAGATACCATATTCATTTATTATTGAACTTTCTGATCTCCTTCTTATTCCTAAATCCTGCAGAAGGACGTTGGACTCTTCTTCTGAAAAAGAAATTGTCTCTAAGTAGAGTAGTTATATTTAGAAGCATAACAATAATTCCTAAAACTCTCTTGTCATGCACACAGACATGAACCAAAGGTCACATGTGCCAACAAATGACAAAGATACTGAATAATTAGCAAAGAATAAACAGGATTAATAATCAGTAGTGTTGGAAAAGATGGATATGTCCACTTCAAAAAATAAAAAAAGTATTCTTGTCTTATATCTTTCACAAAAAAGCAATTTGCAATTGACCAGAAACTTAATTATTATAAGACCTGGAACTGTAACACTTGTAGAGAAAACACAAAGGCATTATTCTTGACAGGAATCTTACCAACACTTTATTTTTATATATACATAAAATGGGTAGCAAAATTAAAAATTGAGACTACATCAAATTAACTATTTGTTATATAACAAAAATAATAAATAAAACAAAAATATAGTGCATGGAATAGGATAATTTATTTATGTATTGCATATAGGATATGCCACAAGATATAAAATACTTAACAAACTCATGTAATTCAGTGACAGAAAAGCATAACTAAATATTGGAAAAAGAACCTGAATATTTTCACAACAGAAGCAAAGAGTCAACAGGTTTACACGAATAGGTATAAAAGAATTAGGCATATTAATTACACATTATTTTATCTAAGCATGAAAAGTAGAGAATTAGGTTACATTCCTAGACCACATGGTGACAGAAGTAGGATTTTAACCCGGTCAGATTGGCTCCATTCTCAAGATCTTAGGTAGTTCAAGCAATTTTACTCTTGAGGATCCAGTTAGTATCTCCATTTGTCCATCCTTCCTTCCAACAACTGTAACTGCTAAAGAGTTGAATCAACTCCTCACTCTATGACGTTAGTTTTATGTAAAATATTAGGATAGAGTTGAAATTCAAGGAGATGCATCTCTTCCTGAATCTCTATGTCTGCTATGTTACCCATACTTTCCTTTGGTGGCATGTGACCATGACATGTTGAAGAAACTGACATAAGACTTTAAGAATCCTTTCTTGTTTATGGATTATAGAGAAATGCTGTATGAAAAGGCATTAAAATGGAAAGAATCTGTCTGAACAGACAGTAGACAAAACAACATTCTGCATGAAGCATAAGTGCACCCTGAAGGCCCACTGATGGGCAAATGTGGTGTATGAATGTATAAGAACAGCTCCTTATACCAGTGCTCCTTTCCATAGCATGTGACCACAGCTAGAAGTTAGCACCAGACTCCATCTTGCCTGTGAGAAAACAGTAAAGTTTGTTTTCTTTTGCACAAAGGCATGAAAAACCAGCCCCATTACAGGAATGTAAACTGATAGTCATGAGTGGTTTCTGGAGCAATACTGTGGGTTAAGAGGGGGTCACAGATACAGAAAAGTTGCTGGGCTATTCAGGGAAACAGTGGGAGGCTCTGCCCTCACCAACATGGGTTCCACTGTCTGGCTTTAGCCATATTTTTATATTTACCTTTGGGTACTTTGGCTTTGTATCCTCAAATATTGCATTTTTGATTGTTTGTTTAATTCATTATTTAATGCTATACATTAAATTGCTTGATCTCCTCACATGGATATCTATGTCTAAATATATGAAAACATGATGTCTAACTCTGTAAAACATATTCCCGAGTATGTAAACACTATGCCTAAGTGCATAAAAACTGCCTAACTACCATATACTTACTAATAAGTACTATGTCTAAGTACCACCTGTAAGATAAAGTGATACTACTGAAGCTGTGCAATTTAAATAACTGTGAGAGGTAGTACAGGGGACAACAATCATATGAAATACATTTACATGGGGAGACGCTGTAATGTGGTTTTCTTGTCCAATATCACAAGTTAAAACCCGGGGGAAATGTGCTTAAAGTGAGAACATTCCTCCCAATGTATTTTATGTAGTTTCCAAGGTTTTTGAAGAGAAAATAAGCTTAGCTCTTACGTTGTTTTTCTGTCTGCTCTGATATAGATGAGAAGGAGTCTAAAGCTGACTCTGAGGATGAAGAAGTGGACACTGGGTTTAGGATATCTGCCATGAAGATTCCTTTATATCCTCCTAGATCACTCAAGTATGGTGCGGTGTTGAAGGAGATGAAAAGAGATTATTTCCCAGATTATCTTCTGCCACTTCCTGCCACTCGTCCAAAGCCAGCCATTCAGAGAGTGACACTGAAGGAGCTGAACGAAAGGAGAGACTTTGTAACTTCCACAATCGCAGGCTTGAATCTCCACCTTCTTACTGATCTTGATAAATATCACGTAGAACGAAAGCGCCAAGAAAAACAAGCAGAAAAATCAACAGCGGTAGTCAGGGCACAAATTGCCCAGGAAAGAGCTAGGCTCAGTGTTAGAGAGAATTTAAGGAGGAACTTTTATATGACACAAAAACTAATAGAACAGGATAATGAGATGATCCAGAAAGGCTTACGGCAAGTTTGGAAGGAAAAACTTGCCTACCTTGAAAAAGTTAGAGAGAGGAAAACTATGTTTCTAGCTGAAAAAAAGCTAAATGCTGCAGACCATTCTTTAGTGCAGACCATCAGCAATGAGCGGTCCCTTCTGCTCAAAGGAATCATTCAAGATGACAGACGGAAGAAAAATTCGAGTGACTTAAGAGCGAAGCACCTGAATGTTAAGGAAAAAAGGAAAACACAAAAATATAGGCAAAGTTTGATGAGGCAAATGAAGGAGCTCAGGTAGGCACATGGCTAAGGCACAGCCGAGCCCTTAGTCCACTGCAATTTACAGGTAGTGCTGAATTCTATCCCTGTGTTTCCCTATAGCTTGACACTTTATACTTGGAAAACAGAAACAAACTAAAAGGTGAAAATCATGTGCTGGCTTGTTACCAAAGATTGGGAAGCAGAAGAACTCTTCTTCCCTTTCTTCCCATCATTGGAGAAAACCTGCTGTGTTTACGGTTGCACAGCCGGTCACTGCTGTGCTGTGCCTGGCAGTGTGGCAGCACACTCCAGGTCCTCGCTGCCCACTAGGAATGCTTTCCCTGTCTTCTGATTTCTAGAGGGCATCTGAGATAGAGCCAACTTTGTTACCACAGTATCTCCTCTAATTGAAACTGGTGTAGTCTCTAAGAACTCACTTGATCCTTCTCCACAGACCCTACCTCTGCCCTCCTCGCTTGGACTCTTTCTGTGTCATCTGTAAATCTTAACTGGGGGATTCTGTTTCTTTGTTTGAGACAGGGTCTCATGTAGCTCAGGTGGGCCTCACACTGTGTAGCAAAGAGTGACTTTGAACTTCTGATGCTCCTGCCTCAACCTCAAGAGGACTATAAGGTATGTGGCACAATGCCTGGTATATGTGCTGCTGGCAATTGAAGCCAGAACTTCATACAATTGAGGCATGAACCACATCCCATCCCTCAACAGTTCTGATCCTGTAAGTGCTTATTGAAGTGGACATATTGCCATTGTTCACAGGATATTTGATATTTCAGGCAATATATTTTGTTTTAATCTAGAGTCTTCTTTAAATCTTTTGCTTTTTGACTTCTTTTTAGTTTTAACCTCTTATTATAACACTAAGCATTGTTATAGACAGCAAATGCTCCTCCAATTTCTTACCCTTCTGACTATACTCATATTGTCTCATTTTTCTCTGCTGTGCACTTTGCCAGGGCCTGGTAAGTCTGCAGTGTGAAGGGGGGCTATAGGAGCATAATTACCTGTGCTACGGTGAAAATCACACTTCCTGGTATCTGCTGAGTGATAAAGTGCTGTCTGTGTATGCATGAAAAGGCCTTCTTTTCTCCAGGGAGAAACATGACACGTAGATGACTGTTGTCTCTGTGTGACTACCTTTCATCTTTAGACTCTCCGTCTATAATGCAAAGAATACACATAATGGAAAAAAAATCATCTTTTGTCCTCCACTCAAAAAGCATTTTCACATTTCCCTATATTTTTTTTGCAGTTTATTTCTTCTTTTTCTTCGAAATTTCATTTCATTTTATTTCTTATATATTTTGATCATGCCACTTTCTTCTCCCAATCTCCTCCTGGCACTCCCTACCTCCATGGCCATCCCTGTTTAAGTTCTCTGTCTCTATCTCTGTCTCTCTCTTTCACACACACACACATCAAAACAAACAAGCAAAAGACCAATAAGACAAAACAAAAATACTCAAACCAAATGAAACAAAAAGTCCAGATTTGGGACAAATTGTCAAACACATGAGCCATCAGAGAACATTTCATATTCAAACTGGAGCATTCATTGTGGTCTTTCTGTTTTGTATTGTTTTTTCTTTTTTGTTTTTGTTTTGTTTTGTTTTTTTCAAGACAGGGTTTCTCTGTGTAGCTTTGAAGCCTGCCCTGGAACTCACTCTGTAGACCAGGCTGGCCTTGAACTCACAGAGATCCACCTGCCTCTGCCTAACAAGTGCTGGGATTAAAAGGTGTATGCCACCACTTCCTGGCATTCATTGTGGTCTTTATATCTTAGTTTATAAAGGTTTTCTCTGAACAGCATCTTGTATATTTATAATTTTCAAATTGATAAGACAGTGCTCCTGTTTTCATGACAAGAACATATTAATGTGAAAGATGCTCCAAGCACTTTTCACATTAATGACTAGGTAATAACTTACCTTCACATACACATAAAAGACCTCTATTTATTAGGAACTGCTCTATCTCTGAGCTGTTAAACTCTTCCATAGTTATTTGTGGAAACATAGTTAGTTGTGTCTATCAACGTTATATTCATTTGACTTCACCACATGCATTCCAGAATTATGTGATGATACTTATCTGTCAAATGCCAACCTTATGCATTTCCTGTCTGCTGTAGGGTCCACATTCTTCAGATTGTTACATGCATTCTGTCTAATATTTCTGTAGCCCTTCTCTGTGCTGTCTTCTACTACTAAGTTCAGCCTATGGCCATTCCAAGTATCTCCATTGTCAGTCCAACTTTACTAGCTAGACAAAATTAGCACCCTGTGATTTTTATAAACCTCACTTCATCTATTGCTCAGTTACCCATTATTTCTCCTACCGCTGACAAGAACAGCTTCAAGCCTTCACCAAATGTAAAGCTTCAGATAGAAACACAACCATATGCTCGACTTCCCAGCAGGCTACTTTATTTCCTAAAGGAATATTAGTCCTCAAGTTTGAATTCCTTCAGCACATTATATCCATATGCAGAAAATTCTAGATGGCATCAATTATTTCTACATTCTGTATCTGCTATTCAGGGTAAGGTTCCATTTCTTATTTAAAGTGTGTGTTAGTTCCTACTATGAATGCTTCTAGTATAGAAATTGGAATTGTGTGAAATGGATATCTTGGTTTGAGAAGAATTGGAAGTTTAATATTGTCTTCAAATTGTTGACCATGGTAAAATTTCTAATTTGTTTCCACCTTCTTTAATATCACCAACATTATATTTGATGTGATAACTCTGTTAGAATCATTGAACACAAGAAGAAGGTTATTGAGATCCAGTCCCCAGAGAGGTGGCAATGCTGAGTGGCCATCCTGGTATACATGTTGGTGGCATGGACTCCACACACATGTGTAAGGGTGTTAGTTAGTCCATATTAAAAAGATTATCTTGGGTTCTCCAAGTGGGCCCAAGTAATCATTTCAGCTTTTCAAAGCAGAAACATCATTTCAGGTGTATACTTTCTGTAGCTTTTCTTAAACACCCATAAATAAGTGTGCCTGTTTTGTGTGATAGATGGAATTGACATCCTTTTCCAATTATTAGATGGCAATATGTCGAAGTACAATTGATTCATGTGTATTGATCACTCATTGATTCTTTTAAATAATTATTTTATTAACATTTGTTCATTGTTCATTATTTTTATCTTTTAGCATGATGATTTCATTATACTCCTATGACTTACACTTTTCTTTACTCTTTACAGTTAGCTTTTCTTTGAATGTTTAAAGTTGTTTTTGCCTTGATTTATACTCAGTTACATGGCCAGCTATATGCATTATCTATTTTCTAGACTGAGAACAAAGTAGCTAACTTCAATGGAGTGATTATCAAATGGTAACCAGGTTTTTTTTTTTTTCAGCACTGGAGTTTGAAAGGGAGCTTATGCCAGACAAAATCTCTACTCCTGTGCTGTGTACTTGTTCTGTTAATTGCTTCTTACTAAATGTCTAAGCTAGACTTTCCTCTTCATAATGATGAAGAAAACAGACATAAGCAATTTAAATAATGCATCCAAAATTACATTCCTTAAATCTCATAGATGGATTTTATATACCAAAGGATTGGCTGTCCAACCTGACTTGCTATAGCTTGCCACAGTTTCTCCATTTTCAGCTCTCTGGGAGTGATCACACAGATAACCCTGATGATCAATGTCTCCAAAGAGAACTATAACCCCTCTCTCACCCTCTCTAACTATCCAGGAAAGGAACTCATTAAATGGCAGGCCATCTTCAAAGAATTTACAATGTGTAACTTGTTTTATCTTTTATTGAATTACCCCTATGAGTTAGATTATCTATTTCTTAACGGTTAGGTAGAGCAAATTTTAAAAACTCAGCCAGAATCCAGTTAGTAAATTGCAAGCTTCTAATTCAACTTTCTAATCCACTCCCTAAGTCCAGATTTCTGATTATACCTGTGTAGAAATGTAGTACTTCATGAATCAAACTGAGACTTTCCCCGGAACTGAATGGAGCAGAATGATGTCTTTCAGCTCTCAGGACATATGGTGATAAGATGCTCTCTCTGCCTCAGTTTTAGCCATTCATGGTATACAAAATAGTTCTGACAAAAATGATCTGTCTCTAATTCTCTGCCTGCCTGGAAATGTGTATTTTTTAAGTCTCAAAGGTTATTTTATGTTTGAATCTTGTTTTGTCTTCTCTCATGTTACAGGCTTCATTATCAAAATTTACCTCACTTCTTATCTTACTTTGTGTTGTTCTGTAATAGGTTTCTTGTTTTAGTAAGAGTTTTGATGCAAGTTCTCACCATATCTTTCTCTTAAATTACCCTGAACTTTTTTTTTGAGGGAATCTTTCTACTTATTCTTATTTCTGTTTGGAGCATGTGGAGATACTGTCATACTTTGAAAATGAATGAATGAATGACATTTTCTTCTATCCTTTGACATTTCCTGGGTATGTTAGAGTAATCTGATCTAGGTCTTTCTAACTTAGAATATGTTAGAATTTGTCCAGTGGATTCGCTGTAACAAAATACTATAGACTGAGCAGCCTAAGTAGACGGGACTTATTTTCTGACTGCTCTGACTTGGAAGTGCACATAGGTGTGGTTTTCCTCAGCTTCTTTACTCCACTGCAGATGGCTTCCACCTTACAGTGGCTTCACATGTATTCTTCCCTGAGCACACATTGCTAGTGTGTGTTCCTCTTTTCATAAGAGCATTAGCTGCGTTGGATATGAACCCATCCACATAATCTCATCTAACCTCAGTTGCCTCTTGAAAGTCCGATCTCCAAATATAGTTACATGCTAAGGTATTGGGTGGGTGGGGCTATAATAAAGAAATTCTGAGGGAAGACATCCTGTTGCTTGCAGAAGTGTGAAAGAAACCATGGACCTCCTGACTCTTGGAGAGAAGTTCTAATCTTAACACAGGCAGTTTGGATGCTCTGGGAGAAATCTAAACAGAACTGTGCAAGGGTTCTCAGGTTTTTGCAATGGAAATCTCATAAATATTAGTATAACATGAATTGAATATCATTTAGTAATGTAATAATATTATGTAGACTGAGCTCTGTCCTTTCCCCATTTATAAATGTCTGTTTGAAAAACATCTGAATTTATCCATAGCAGCCCCATTTGTATTGTTTTAGTAATCTAACAACTATCTCATTTTATTCTTCCTTTTTCCACATAGGGCTGAAGAAATTCGTAGAAGACACTATGAAGAGAAATTTGTTATTGATACACTCATCTTTGAAAAAGCCTGTGCAAGACTAGAGGAAGCCAAAGCAAAGGTTGAATTTGTTAGGACAAATTATACCTCTAAGTCTCGTTGGAAAGAGTCAGCATGAGCCAATGCCAGCGCACATCTGATAACTGTAAATTGTGGCCACTATTTTTATTTAAAAAATCTTGAAATAATACTTAGAAGATGTGCTCTACACAAGGTTGGTCTGGGTATAAATGTGTTCAAGTTGAAAGAGAAGAGGGTCTCAAGTGTTTTCATACTGATTATAATGAAATCTGGCTGACTTTGCACTCGTAAAGGCTCGTTATGTATCCATGTGCCCGAAAAGGAATGAAAGCAGTCTGACTTCCTCCATACAAAAGTCTTCAGAAGACTGTACAGTTCTACAGGCTTAGAGGATGACAAGTTATGAAGCTATTTTCAGTTTTTTCTTCTAATTTCCTTCCTTATTGCTGAATTTTATTGAGATATTATATATAGTAAAAACTTCTGTTACCCAATTTCATATATTAAATTATAATGTATTTCCTAATTACCTTATTAAAACAATTTCTGAATTTTGTTTACTTTTCTCTTTCAAAATACAGGTTTCATCAATGTATTATTTATACCCATAAAGATTTAGACAATATAATGTAGTTGTTTTGCTTTTTTTTACTCTTTGGAAGCCCGCCACCGAGTTCCCAAATAAATACATGGAGACTTATTCTTACTTATGAATGCCCAGTCTTGGCTTGGCTTGTTTCTAGCCAGATTTTCTAACTTAAATTATCCTGTTTCTCTTCAACTATGTTTTGCCTCAAGGCTTTTTACCTTTCTTTATTCTATATTTCTTTCTTTCCTTCTTACTCTGTGGCTGGTTATGTGGCTGGATAGCTGGCCCCTGGCATCCTCCCCTCCGTCTCCTTTTCTCTCTCCTCCTGCTTCTTGTTCTTCTTTCTCTTTGCCTACCACACCCACTGGTTCTTGCCTCCTGCCTTGCTATTGGCTGTTCAGCTCTTTATTAGACCAATCAAGTGTTTAAGAAGGCAGCATAATAGGTTTACAGTGTTAAACAAATGCAATATAAAAGAATGCAACACATCTTTGCATTGTTAAACAAATATTCCACAGCATAAATGAATATAATACATCTTAAACTAATATTCCAGAACAATATAAACTATGGAAATAAAACATTCTACCATCTTCCTTGTGCTTCTTGTGTTTACTTTTGATGCATTTGCCCTTTTTGCAGAGATGTGAGCACAGGGAAGACAGAAACAAAGGAATGTGAGCACAGGGAAGACAGAAACAAAGGAACAGGAGAATGCATTAAACTCTGTCATGGCAATGATAAACATACCAAAATAGCATTTAGTATTTAATATTAGTTATAGAAAAGTTGAAAAGTAGAAAAGATCAAAACTGTAAAAATCTATGCTTTCATCATCTAGGACAATAAATGCACTGATGTCACTGTGATATCACTGGACGGGGTGTCACTCAAACATGTTCTTAAATTCATGAGTTATATGCATAGGTTTAAAGTTGTGACACTTCAGAAACTTTCTGATTTTATCAGTTTATTGCAAGTGTCCAAAAATTAAGTACTTTATAACTGCAATTTTTTATGTGTGCTTCAGTGGTCTATGTTATCAAATATGGGCAATGCTTTCACAAAATTATCGCTATCTATTTAAGTGCACAATACCAGCTTCCTCTGTCCTTCTAATTAGCATATCACTAACAAGTGACTCATTTGATATTTTGCATCATTCTGCAGTAAGAGCAAGGGGAGATATAGTAGGCTACAGAAAACCCTGCAGAACCGTCTTCCACATCAAATGAACAAATGTCTGTTTTCTATTCAGCTTTTTAAAGTTATATGTATATTTTATATATTTAACAAAAATGGTAACCCATATCAGCGTTATTTTAAGGTTTAGATGTGGAAAGAGACATAAATTAAGCAGCGTGGTACATCACACAAAGTAAGCATTTACTGAATGTCAGTCCATAGAAGTGGGAGTAAATATGCTTCTCTAGTCACAGCAGCATTTGCTAAGTCTTTAGGAACTATTTGACAGACATTAGCAAGGATAGGAAGACACGTTTGTGTGATGTGTTAAAAACAATTTATTCATTTTGTATTGACATTGTCTAAGTATTTTTCTATTCTCCCACTCCGTATTTTATAGCTTTTATTTCATAACATACAACCAACAATTTCCTTGACTGTTTGCATTCCCCTCTGAGCTAGTAGGCCAAGAATATTCTGCTTCTCTCTGTGTTACTACTTCTTCATGCTGAAGCAGTTAACACACACACACACACACACACACACACACACACACACACACACACACACACACGGTGTGCTTTTTTTTCTATAGCTCTCACATATGTGCTATATTAAGTTGATCTCATTATATTACTCTTTCTCACTGTTCACATTTTGAAGAATCTAGAATCTGTATCCTAGGTTATATCTAGTTCTCTAGTTCTGATATTTCCAAAATAAAAATGTGATGCCTTACATGTTAGGCCAGAAAAGTTTTTAAAATTGCACATTAAAAATAAATTAATTTGTATTTCTTACCATTCTTTCATCCTCCCACATCATGAGCCTCCAATACTTCTTGGCACCACAGTTACATAACATTCTATGTGGCTAAAATGTCAACCTAAAACCTGAGAAAGCTTAAAAAAATTCTAAAGTGGAGTAAAAGCAGCTTCCTAGTGGTGTCTCTCAGGCCAGCCACAGCCTGCGGGCTTGAGCTACTCTATGGTGGGTTCATGGCATGCAGGCTTGACCTGCAGCATGGGGGATTCCTGCTGAGGTACACAGAGGCATCTCCAAGCTGCACCTTACACTGTGTGGTGGATTTAGGTTTTGCTAGTACAAAAAAAGAAAGAGAGAGAGAGAGAGAGAGAGAGAGAGAGAGGGAGGGAGGGAGGAAGGAAGGAAGGAAGGAAGGAAGGAAGGAAGGAAGGAAGGAAGGAAGGAAGGAAGGAAGGAAGGAAGAAAGAAACAAAGAGGTTTCTGGTCTACAGGCTGCTTTGATGATTCACATGGCCCAGAGCTGGAGGTGAATTACCTCCACCATGTTGAAAAGCTGAAATGGATAGAGTCAGCAGCCAAGGCTGCTGGTTTTTGTCCTGGTCACGCAGTTTACCAATTTGAAATCTCTCTTGGCCAGAAAAGGATTATAGATTTAGAATAAGACAGATTCAGATATGATGAACCCTAAACATTTTACAGTGTATGTAAAAATGTATGTAGGCTTGGAAGAGAGAGGAAAAAGAATACATACAGTTATATAAGGAAATGAAAAGTTTTAAAAAATAAAGTCTTTAAAGAGAAAGCAAAAATAGTATAAAAATAAGCCATATAAAGATGGAAATCACAGACTCTGGATTATATTGTCTTTGTGATTTTTAACTACAGAGAGAGATTTGATTGTAAAAACTGCTGAGTTAAATCAATATGTATATTTTAAATATATCTTGATTTCAAAATTTATGTCTAAGGATACGCTGCTTTGGAAAAGAGGTTCTGCTTTTGTTTCCACAGAAGATGAGATACTGTGGATTGCTTCTAGGCTAATATGGTTTGACCAGCCAAGACCTGCTTAAAGATCTCCAAAGATACCATGGCCCAGATCATCCAACATCCAAAATCAACTTCAAGACACCTGGCTCAGAGAATAAAGCCTCACAGACTACTCCAGTCAGGACTTGACCATAGTCCTAAAATTTTCTTTGTATGCCCATAAGAATACAGCACCCAGGTTGTTTTCAGGTTCTGGCTATTACGAATAATGCTGCTATGAACTTAGTTGAGCATGTGTCCTTGTTATATGATTGAGCATTCCTTGGGTATATGCCCAAGAGTGGTATAGCTGGGTCTTGAGGAAGATTGACTCCCAATTTTCTGAGAAACTGCCATACTGATTTTCAAAGTGGCTGTACATGTAAAAAGTTGCATTCCCACCAAAAGTGTAGGAGTGTTCCCCTTGCTCCACATTCTCTCCAACATAAGCTGTCTTCAGTGTTTTTTTTATCATAGCCATTCTGATGGGTATAAGATGGTATCTCAGAGTCATTTTGATTTGCATTTCCCTGATAGCTAAGGATGTTGAGCAATTCCTTCAATGTCTTTAGTTCATTTGAGATTCTTCTGTTAAGACTTCTCTGTGTAGCTCTATAGCCCATTTTTTAATTGGATTGTTAGGTATTTTGATATCTAGTTTCTTGAATTCTTTATATATTCTGGAGATCAACCCTCTGTCAGATGTGGGGTTGGTGAAGATCTTTTTCCATTCTGAAGGCTGTCATTGTGTCTTATTGACCATGTCCTTTGCCCTACAAAAGCTTCTCAGACAACCTAGATGCCCCTCAACTGAAGAATGGATAAAGAAAATGTGGTACATATATACAGTGGAGTACTACTCAGCAGAGAAAAACAATGACATTATGAAATTTGCAGGCAAATGGATGAAACTAAAAAATATCATCCTGAGTGATGTAACCCAGACTCCGAAGGGCAAACATGGTAGGTACTCACTCATAAGTGGATACTAGATGTAAAGCAAAGGATAACCAGACTGCAACTCACAGAATCAGGGAGGCTAGCTAGTAAGGAGGACCCTAGGAAAGATGCATGGATTGCCTAGTGAAGGAGAAATAGATGAGATCTACATGAGCAAACAGGGGCTGAAGAGGGGTAATAGAGGGCAAGGGATGGTGGATAAGAACATAACGGGATGGGAGGTTTGAGCTGGAACAAGGACAGAATGGGAGAGCATGGAAAGAGATACCGTGATAAATTAAGACATCATGGGAATAGGGAGAAACAGAGTGCTAGGGGGTTCTCTGTTATCCACAAGGATGACCCCACCATAGACTACTGGCAATAGTCGAGAGGGTGCCTGAGCTGACCTACTATAGTGATCAGATGGCTGAAGACCTTAAATGTCATCATAGAACCCTCATCCAGTGACTGATGGAAGCAGATGCAGAGATCCACAGCTGGGTCCCAGGCCGAGTTCCAGGAATCCAATTGATGAGAGAGAGGATGAATTCTATGAGCAAGGGATATCAAGACAAGGATGAGAAAAAGTACAGAGACAACTAGCCAAACTAGTGGAAATGCATGTACTGTGGACCAATAGCTGAGGAGCCCCCATTGTGCTGGACTAAGCCCTCTGGATAAGTGAGACAGTTGTTTAGCTTGAACTGTTTAGGGGGTTCCCAGGCACTGGGACTAGGCTTTTTGGAGCCTAGTGCCTATAGTGAGATATTTTGTGCAGCCTTGGTGCAGGGAGGAGGGGCTTGGACCTGCCTCAACTGAAGGTACTGGGCTCTGCTTCCCATGGGAGAACTTGCTATGGAAGAGGTGGGAATGGGGCGTGGGTTGGAGGGAAGACTGGAGGGCAGGAGGAGGAGGACCAGGGAGTCTATGAGTCTATGGTTGGTATATAAAATAAATAGAAAATCTCTTAATAATAATAATAATAATAATAATAATAATAATAATAAATACAGCACCCTTTATCAGCAAGAAGTAGCCTAGAAAACTATGCCCACATTCCCAGAAGATCGATTTATGGATGTTTGTTTTTGTTTAGGTTGTTGGCTACAAATCGT